TGAGAATGAAGTCATTTTGAATGGATTGCACAATCGGTTATTTGTTTGAATGTTCACTATATAGATTTAGAATGCTAAATGACATCCATCCAACTGAAATAGTCCAAATGCATCATGACAGTTTTCATCTTTCCAAATTCTGAATTTTTATGCGACAGATCATGCAAAGAATATACATCATGTTTATGAGAATAATCCGGAATAAAAGAATTAAATATTTTCAAATTACCTGAAGATTCATCTGATGCGTTTTCGCGTTCATACGTATTGCATTATCTCAGATGAACTGGTTACTTCGAGAAACAACAATGATGACTTGAACAAATATGTGTTTTTCTATGACATATAGTGAATAATCACGCTTATAGAGTACTCACGAATCACTAACGTCTAGTTAAAACCATTTTTATCACAATTCTTTGGTTCGAATTAAGCATTTAAAGTATACATTTGGTCTAATTGATGGTATGGTGATATAAAGATTGAATGTGACCAATCTTGCAACTTCCTCAGGATTCAAATGTACTAAGTGATTATATTTCACATAAGTACTGTTTATGTTACGGCCCGAACGAAAGGCAAATAGAAACAAAAATGTCCAAAATAATGATATAAATAAGCAATTTCGAAAGTTCATTAAATCAAATACATCCAAAAACACATTGAAGTTGATAATATTGAGTACAAAGATTTTTATTCAGCCAAATGTCTCCAGTTCTGTCGTAACCGTATGAATAACTCATTAACTAAGTATCATTTGAATCAGCTAATTCAACTGAATAGAAATAAGGATTTGATTCTGAGTAAGTCTGACGAATGGGCTTGTGTGGTAATAACTGGTCGTCATGAATATTTTGATAACATGAAGTTAATCCTGTAGGATAATACTAAAGTTTTCCTTACTTAGGGAGAAATAGACAGAATATCGCAAGTTGAATAAAGGACAAACTATGTTGTCAAAAGTCCTAAGAATGTGAAGATAAAAATGTCAGACCTGATTGATCACATACGTTCAATGCGTTTTACGTGATGCCTCGTATGTCCAGTTTAGTTTCAACAATGACATGTATATACACTCCGATTGTGTTGCGATGGGGTTTTCATTGTGGCCAGCTTGAGCCGATTATGAAGTGTTAAATTGTACAGGTTTATAAGTGAAATCAGATTGTGAAATAATTATTAATTAGAATAAATATGGTCAATCTGGTGTGAGATTTAGTCAGAGAATAATGCGATTCAAAAACTGAAATTGCGTAATATGAAGAGTTATATTGCTTTATGGACGCGTGAATCTGATGAAGTCGCTTGAATGCTTCTACCAAGATATTATGACCATTACGAAGGAAAAACGTGTCGTGCATGTATCGGCAGTACAACGAAAACTTGTCAAACTGTTGCGCTGATTGACCATTTTGTAGTTTAGAGGGAAAAGTGTCAGTGAGTTCTTCAATAGCCTCCTTGTACTTTTCACTTAAAATACTTCTGCAGATAAATCTTTTATAATAACAATGATAGTAACATTTCAACCATATTGTTACAGACACGTTGTGGTTCTTCATAATACGTAACCTAATACTGCAGTCTGCTAACCGATGTTATTAAAAATCCTAAAAGTGTTGGATTAATAATTTTAGAGCTAATTGATCGCATCCGTCCAGTGCGTTTTGTGTGATAAATTTAATGTCCAGTGCGGTTTTAACTAAGAAATATATAGAAAAGGAGATGAGTTTGTAATAAGGTCTCAATTGAGTCTAGTTTAAGCCGATTATGAAGTGTTAAATTAAATCAGATTATAAGTGAAATCAAATTATGTAATAAATAATCATCAGAATAAATATAGTGAACATGGCGTAAGGGAGAGACAGAGGGGGAATAGTGTAATTATTTAGTCACTTGCTAACGCCTGTAACCCTCAATATTTCATAGGCCGCTAACCACTCTGCCCTGAACTATCCTTTCCAGTTGTTTCCAATTTTTGTTCGTTCTTCTCGTAAATTTCTCCATTTCTTTGCACAATGTGTTCTTTGGTTATCTAGGATAATATGAATTTGATAGACGGATGAACGTCACTGAATCGCCCAAGTGATTCTATCAAGCCAGTATGGTCATTACAAATGATAAACGTATCGTCCATATTTCGCCAGTAAAGTGAGAACTTGTCAATTGGATCCTTTCAAAGTTTAAAGAGAAAAGCGTCTGTAAATATGGGACCATAATGTGAACAAGTCGCGACACAATCTATTTGCTTCGAGACAAGAAGCAATGGTACTGTAACCTATAAACCCTACATTTTTGAAATCCATTCAATTGAAATAATCCGAGTTCATCATTACAGTGTTCATCATTGGTAAGCATAATCAATCATCCAATAGATTAACGAGTCAATGTGCTTCATGTTGAAACGACACTTTGTATCATCCGTAATAAAAGAATTAAATATTTTCAGATTATTCGAAGATTCATCTGGTGTGTTTTTCACTTCATACGTATCGCACCATCTCAAGCGAGCTGTTTAGATTGAGAAACAACAATAATGTCTGTAACGGATACGATGGTTTCCTTAAGATGTTTTGAATGAACACTCTGATTGAACAACGACTAATTAACACAATTTCCATCTGTTTTCTACAAGCAGAATTAGGATTTTGATGAATACATCTAGTCAAATGGACGGTGACGTGATACAGAGATAAAATGTCAGGATTAAGATGTACCAGATGATCAGATTTACCATAAACACAGTTTACTTCACTGTTCTTCACTACGTTGGTTTTCATTACTGGTTTGTCAGAATTTTAACTGGTGGTATCTCTATTCCGATTTATGTATTTCAACTTCATCCACACTGAAATCCAATGAGAATCGTCTAGATGAAATAGCTATTTGCATTGCTGACAATGAAGGAAGTGTGCATGTTTAAATCTGTGGTGGTTACAAATGGATTAATCTATAATTACAGAAAACTGTAAACACATATGAAAGAATTTCACTTACAATTGAGTGATGCCGTCAGCAAAGTGCATGACTCATCAATTATTATAAACACTGCAAATTGTGTAATTGAACTCGTCTCATAATCCAAGGGCTACTCGAATTCCAACGTTCCCATATCCAGAATCTGAGTACGCAATCGTCAGTGGAGTGGTTCCAATACTATTGTTGTATATGCTCACTGGCAATTTCATTATATATATGCAAGTGAAAGACAACAACTGATCACGTTGTGTCCAAATGAGTATGTCATCATTTTTTTATTTTGGTGGAGTGTTAAGCACCATCTGAACTTGAGGTAATTTAACGTCGGTTATATATTTACTCTAAAAGGTGACTTATATTAGGTCACAAACCGTCAGAAATATTATGCACCTGCTCGTTGAGATATAACAAATAATATACGTGTTATCAAATCTCTACAAAATGCTCAATTTATTTGGAACTTTAGAGCCCACCATTGGTATTTGTACCTCATAACTATTCAAGGTAGATATTTCTCTGCTGTCACTTTCCATTTACACCATTCAATATCATGTGTTATTCAGTAGTCTTTATGATAATTGAAAATAGAGCTGATGACTGTAATATAATATCGCACGTAGTAATTCTCGCACCTATCCAATACACACTTTGGTGATCATGAATTAACCATCAGTCAGTCAATATGCCATAATACCGTGAGCATAACCCGATGCGTTGCATTCAAATTAGAATCATATACGCCTTCATGTTAACGCTACGCACCAATCTGTACAAACGAAACCGTACAGTTCATTCTCATTTGTAAATCTTTATTTAAAAACCGATCAATCACCTGCTTGTGTATGCGTGTGTGTAACTAGTGAACTCATGTTAGTTTGACTGAATTGATATTGATACAATTTCGTAATTATTTCATGCAATGTGATGTAAGAACTATCAATTCTCACATCTATCTAACACATAGTTTAGTGCTCAAGAATTCAACACCACTCACTCAAATAAACGATAAATTCCTATGCATAAGGTAATGTGTTGTATGCAATTTAGATTCATGGACACATTCATGCTGACACTACTCATCGGTCTATACAGAAATCAGAATCTCACTTGAATAATAAGTCTAACAGTTTTATATTTGTAGCTCCCACTATTCTTTCTCGTTTTGAATACAATTACCTTGAACGCTGGCTTCTTTCCCATAAAACATTATTCACTAACACTTTATTTATTCGGTGATACATGAATTAAAATGTGGTTTTTGCTTAAACGGATTACTTCTATGATACACTGGGGAAAGATAACAATTGAATAATTTTCTGATGTCTTCCAACAAATTTCGTACAAAAGCAAACAATACAGATTAGAGGAGCTCATTATCAGTTTCACTAAATATTTCAACGAAAGAGTCACAACAATCTGTGCAAGCTAAACTGTACAGATCATCCTCATTTGTAAGTCTTAACATTGACAGTCACAATATTGTGAACTGAATGAAATTAATCATGCAAACTGTTGGATATCAGCTAAGAATTCTAGAGGTTAGTCGCTCAAAACAAAATCTGATAGTCAAATGTACAACCATCGGTTAGGTACCCGACGCACTCTGATGAGTCACATCATTGTTCAAAACAGCAGTCCAACTTTTTCTAATTTTGAGTGAATGAATGACCGAGGTCAGTCTGTGATCTAAAGCACAAGAAAACAATGGTTGCTTTCCTTAATGTACTCGGATTACATCACGATTTTGTATTGCTCTTTATTTAAAAACCGATCAATCACCTGCTTGTGTATGCGTGTGTGTAACTAGTGAACTCATGTTAGTTTGACTGAATTGATATTGATACAATTTCGTTAGCATGTCCTGCATTAAGGTCACACATGTGCACTGAATGTGATCAGCTGATCTTTGTATCACACTCTTAACAACCATCATGAGACTGATCGTATTTGTGATAATTTGATTGGTTGAAACACATAATCTCTTTGTGAAATAAAAATATAAAAGCAAACGAGTATGTGATCTTTCGAAGACACAAGATATTCAACACCAAGGGTAAGTTATTCAAATGTTCATCAGCTTAGTTGATCTAACACTGAAACATGTGTCCAAATTTGTGTATAATTTGTCAGTTACAGAGATAGTTGAATATAACAAATCGTTGTGGTCAACAAGTCGTACAGGCTTTGTGATATAAAAGTCATCATTATTTAGTGGAGTGCACTACAGGGAGTGGATTATGGTAGTGTAACATTGAGGGACGACCGAAGTTGTAATTGTGAACGTCAGAGTCCAAATTCGTAATCTAAATAGAAAGGACTTGACACAGAGAGAAGGTCAGCAATAGTGTACGTGGCGATAATCAATCGAAATGGTATTATTTGGTATTGCGGACATGGTCAATCTTCACAACAATTTCTTCATTTCTTCATGAAATATAACCATCAGTGCCGTACTCAGTTGCGTTTAGCTTTAGGATAGTTTACCAGAGTTTTAGTAAGAAACACTGTCAAATTATTGAGATTTCATGAGTGGTGCAGTGGTAATCAACATTTCACTCAGTTTCACTAGTTCTGTAGTAGACTGAAAAGTGATTGACAGCAAACAGATACAAACGTATTATTGAAACACTGAAACAGATAAGTGTTTATCATAATTTACAGTAGGGAGCTCAGTGGCCATTTTATACCCCACACGACGGGCATGAACTGAGGAACCGCGATGGGGATCAAACGCTGTCATGTTATTCATACAACGGCACTGATTAGCAGGTATCATTTCCAAGCTGTGATTTTATAATTTCGAATAAATTGAGCATTGAGTAGATTGTTACTAATGAATATTATCTTGATTATATTCCAAAGAGTAGAAAAATTAAATAATCTGCACTAGTGTAACCAGTTCATCAGAGAATAAACAACCGAATTAAAATTGATCAGAATTCAAATAGTACTTGGATTCATTTTATTTCGGTTACTTATTCTCTGAAGAATTGGCTTACATTAAGCATCAGAACATTCAATTTTTCTACTCATTGGGATATTACAAATATATTATATATTTGTGACACTGAAAAGTGTTTATCATAACTACTCATCGCTCATCAACTATACCGCGCATAGGATTTGGCCATTGATTGGTCACCCAACAGTATCAGTGTTTAACTTTAATCCGTCCACGATATTGCAGGACTATCTCACATTATACTGATAACACACTTTTCTGTGAACTTCAGTTATTAGTTCAGATAAACAGCTCAACTGAATAGTAATCTGTTTCAACTCAGAATGGCCATTGGAAATATCTCCGTTATCGTGGCAATATTTACAACTCTATTACTCAACACTTGCAAATCTATGAAGGAATATTCACTTAAAACCACCATCACACAGCGAGGTGATCTGGTCAATGTAACTATCTTCAACTTCACTGATTCTAACACCGATGCATTTGAAAATTGGATTGAGGTATCAGATGGAGGGAGATCTAAGGCTACACTAGTAAAACTTGAAGGACAGGTAAATTTTATTTATATATATAATTAAGCCAACATCACGTTAAGAATTATCAATCAGCGATTTTCTTTTTTCTTCTCGCCCCACGAGAAAATGGACCAAGCTTTGCTGGAGTTGACAGGATAGTACAGATTGATGTTTTGCCAGCATATGACGGTGTCATCATTGATCTATATAGACAAGGTCCACATTCTCATTTCAGATTGTTCTATGGTGAATGTTCGGATACATGCAATTGTATATCTAACGAATTAGTCTTCGAGGTAATATGATATTCAGTTGTGTAGAGCAACACAATATCTTCTCTTTGAAATTTCTATAGACGTCTGGAAAGCGAGAACAAGTGAAAATACCATTCCGTAATTCTTCAGCCTATCTTCATGGAACACCACTATCTAATTCAAAGTGCTCAGGATTAACTCAGAAGTCACATATCGGTATAAAAGTTAATGGAGGAAGCAATGCGCCGAAAAACCAACTTGGTCCAGGTTCCATTGAAATATTCACTATTTCAGCATATAAGGAAAGGTCAAATGCCAGCTTAAAGAAATCAAGCTTATAGGAATTTCAGACTTTTTGATGCGTAATACTTATTGATACTATGATTGTGTTTTGTTTGTATTAAGTAGCTTTATCAATAAATGTCACACATCTGCCTGAGAGGTTTGAATATTTTCATGGGTTTCTTGAAATTCACGGAAACATCAATGAAGGCGAGCGGTGATGAAAGTTAGGTTGTTGAATGAAAACGTATTCAAGTGATTGAGAATAATGCTCTGTTACTTTATCACTGATCTTCAGGTGTTTAACACACATCGAAAAACGGTTTACTTTCAAGCTTCAAACTAATTGATAAATTTCAAAAAGGAATTCTTTTCCACGAACATATTGTCAAGCTGAAAAGTCATATATGGATACGAAAATCATTTGTTGTGATACACATTTTGTGAGAACATACTATCTGTGAATAATCATGATCACGTAGTCGTTTGAATGCAATACTAGATTACGTGATACAAATAAAAACAACAAACTTGAAAAGGTGTTAAGGAACAGCAATGCGAATGTAGTAAGATTATTGTAATTTTGCTATCAGTTTAAGTAAGTTAAATCTAACTAAATAGGGATGTTAATTAAAAAACACAAGGAGGCAATCAACGAATTCAATTAAAACAAGGAGTTGATTATCACGTTAACCGAATATAGAACTGCAACGTTCCAACTTAACGAATTTTATTTCATTGACAAGATGAGAAACATCTTGAATGATTATCAAAATCTTTAGAATTTGAATCACCTATCCACGTAGCTTTCTTATGGTTTTTCCTTATGACTCGTCCTTTAACTTTGTAAATAGATCGTGTGTAAAAGCTATTCTACCTCTTTTTTGTTTCTCACATGTGAACTTCATGTACGTGAGAAATTCATTGAATCGCTCAAATGCTTCTCTCGAAACAGTAAGCTTATTACAAAGCATAAACTTATCGTCCATAAATCGGCAACAAAGTGAAAATTGTCAGTCTTCTGGGTCAGTCGAACATTCTCTAATTTAGTGAAGAAAATTTCAGAAGAAATGGGAGAATGACGTGAACACATTGCGACACTGTCGTTTGGTCTATTCATTACACCACTGATTTCGAAATGTCTGTCAATGGTATATTTCAGTTATGATTCACTGATGATATCCACAGGGTTTAAAGTCTCTGTTTCGTGTGCTGTATGTTGTCCACAATAGTAGTATCCAGTCTCTCTGAATAGTATATTTTGAACAACCACTTTAGTGTTTATGATCTTGCGAACAAACTGTCATGGCTCCTTAATACTAGGCTTCATTACGTATTTTTGAAGTGGTTTTGAAGTGTTTACTCATCGCTTTGCTACAGAATGGGCAATTATCTGCTTAATTGCCTTGTGTATGATTGTTGGACCCACACGTTAATTTGTGGGCTTTAGCAGCCAGCCGGTTGATTTATTTTCGTTGTTATATTTGTCAACCTTTTACACTGTAATGTTCTGAATGTTTTCGTGATCATTCAAGATGTAATCCTTCTTGTCGATGTGTTCACTTTTGTCAAGTTGAACAGTTCTTCTTCTTTCATCAGGTCTCCTAATAATCGAGTTCCCATCATTAATGCACTCGTAGATATCTCCATTGTGTTTCTAATTTAAAAGTCTTCTGTCGTTATAACTACTTTTCTTAAACTGATAGCTACATTTCGTTCATCTGACCACATTCACATTGTGATTCTTTATTAACTTTTTAGGTTTTTTGTTGTTATTCTTATAACGTCGAAGTTAAGGAGAATGATAATAGTTTATTATATCTCATATATGTAAAAGCTTTCAGAGTAGCTAATGATGAACGTAAAATCTGTTTCACACCTAATTAACTATCGAGAACTGCTATACTGATGTTAGCATCTCTGACTGGAGATTAGATTTCTCGGAAGTGGCAAACAGTTTTTGAATCGTTGACCAAATGAATGATCTTCAACTTAACACCATTTTTCAGTCTGTCGAAGCATCCGAATCACCTATTTGAGATACGCGATTAATCGATGTTTAAAATTATGTGATTTATCTAAAATTGAGGTACTTTATTGAATGTTATACAAAAATTAGATACAATCCTCAACTTGTGAGGTTTCTGATGCATATATCGAATGTCTTTTTGCTGAAATAAAAAAGCTTCGCTAGTGCAAATCGACAGCCGCCTGCAGTGACTATACATAATTCCGATTTATCAACAAGCAGAATTTGAACAAAGAGCAAACAATAGAGAGACTGATGCGCTTAAAGAAGGGTTAAACGAATGCAGTCAATTGTGAATAACTGCTACATTAGTTGTGTTATCTTGAGTATAATAATGAATTCATTGAATGTTTTAAATATATGTATAACTCTCTCAAAATTTTGCACAATGAACATGCTTTCCTAAATAACAAGAAGTAGTATAAGACAATAAACAAAAAAGTCAAGGGGAAGTGACCAAGGAGAGACAAAGCAAAGTAGAATAACCAAACATTCTATACGTTAGTTTACTATGAACACTATGTGACGTGTGCTCGCAGTCGTCCAATTTACGCCTCTCTGATTGTAATTCAATGTCTTTGAATATACCTTATTCAGATGTATCAAAGAGTTTCTTCTGAAATTAGTTGTACTATTATGTTGTGTGCAACTTATGTTGACAAAGTAGTATATAACTACGATCAGGAATAAAATGTCAGGAAGAAGGAGGTTGAGTTGACCGAGGTGGGGGGAGAGAATAAGAACAGAAAGCGTTTGGTATGAAAATGTAGGAACAATCAATTCTGATACAATAACTGAACAGTTTACAAGCAAAGTATTGGTGTGTGATACTTCTACTTCATCAAGTAACTCTGTAATATAACCGGTTGTCCCTAGAAGGGTTCTCCTTTACAACATTTTGAACGTATTTCTTTCTGTTAAAATAACTTCTTCGAGTAAACTTTTACCAACATTTGACCTGTGTGAATAAGCAAGCACCAGGCACATCTAGAGAATTTATTTCAAGAAAAACATGATCAGTTGATGTCACACCAAGCAGTTATTATTGCAAATCCAACATTTACATTCTACGGAAATATACGGCTCAGTATCCACAATGAATATTTAACAACTAAGACCCACAAATGGGTAGTATCTTGTAAATGGTCATACGGGTATCATCTATTGACCAGTTTATGTTCAGGTAAATTGTCATATCCAGAAATAGAATCACTGTTTGTTTCTCATCTTTAACTTTGATTTATTACAACTTTCTAAGTAGTAATTTGATTTACTATTGGGTTTTATAAGGATTACAACATATTGATTACTTAAATAACCGAATGACCATGAGCACACCATCACCGAATATCTGGAAGCACTGGGGAGCTGTTTTGATCCCCGTATGAGAAGAAACATCGTTGAGTACACATTATCACGCACCAGGATACCCAATCCAGCTTCAGTGGGAAAGCCTATACTGTAGACATCGGGGTTGGCATCTAAGCTTGTTAATGTCAACCTTTGATTAGAACAGCAATATTGTACAAACGTCAACAAATCGTTAGGATGAAAACTGTCCTACACCTCATATGATTGGACCCCATGTTTCACGCTTTTCCATAACAACTACGTACTGCTATTTAACGATGATCTATCTAACACCCGTTCGTGATCTGGATTCTGGTAATGCCATTAGTTAAAATGATGTATACACACATGCATTTATATATACTACTGATTGTTCTGTTTATGTCATCTGAAAAAGTGTGACTGTCTGGTTTTTTCTAACTAAACCACTAACTTTGTTATGTTTCAATCCTAATGTGCTTTCAGTGACTAACGGTGAGTTGATCTAAGAATCAATATGATGATTGATGGCGCAAGAGAAACACGGGAAACAACAATGAATAACAAGAAAGAATGTGTGAGAGTTAGGGTGTAGAAGGCAAAGTGGGAAGAAAGCATGTTTAATTCAATAGTACTCATCTTGACAATGACGTAAAATAAAATTGTTATTAGTGATAAATAACAATCATAAATGATTCGATAAAATGAATTTCGCCTTCAATATTTACGTTTCTACATTCAAACGTGCATTTTACAGAAGAAAATATTGCATAAATACACTTCAATAACATCTTATGATCTTATGTGAGAGAGATCAATACAATACCCAATAGTTAGCTTCAAAGTATCCGTTTGAAATTCTTGAATAATGATTGTAGACAACAGTAGGCATAACTGAGAAATAAGTATCCACGTTTTCATGTTAAGTTTTCATATTCTCTGTACGCACAACTTGGGGTTTTGCACTTGTTAATGTAAAATACTTTGAACATTCGAATATTTTTCCTAATATAAAAAACAGTCATCATTTTGATATATTTATGTCATTTTTGTATATGTGATATAGTGGACAACAAAAAACGTGTCTCACTGAATTCTCATTATCAACTGATGGCATTCACTGTAAATCTTGGATAAACAGTCTAGATCGTAATTATATGAACTATCATACGTAATTGAATTTCAAACTTTCATACAATGAAAAATCCATTTTGATGCCCTGTCAACAATATCAAACGTGAGTCTATAAGTATAGGCTGACAAAAAACTATGTCGTATTACAATTCATTTTATTGAGTGATTGTAAATCGAAGCTTTGATTATTACTATATTATTACAATGGAATTGGTAGTGGTAATAATAAAGCAAAAGGAAAATGACAGCCGTCCAGTGCTTTCAGGTATAATTTTTCAGTAATAACAATAGTTAAATATAAGAAATCGTTATGGTTGACAAATTGTATTAGTTTTGTAAAACAAACGTCATCAATATTTAGAGGCATTCACCACTTGTAGTGGATGATGGTGGTACAATATTGAGAATCGAATGAAGTTACTGTCAGAGCCAATTTGGTGATGCTGTTGATTTCGGCTATAATAGATCACACAAAACAGATCTTGTAAACTGTTATGGATATAGAATAAACCCTTAGGTAGAAAAACCCAGAGTTTTAAATACCTCAGTTTTTTAAATTCCCTGTGAAGTCGAATACTGTTGGCTTGACTGAATTCTTCGTAGTTAACGGAAGCATTGTTGACAACCCTGATATTATTTTCGAACAACTCAGCCAACACCGGAATC